TTACATATTATCCCATTGACCGTTAAACTGTTGCAGTACAATTAAGCACCAATTATAGATAAGCATACCTGCCAACTTTTACGAATTTTTCGTAATTTTTACGAAAATGCGTTTGTCTTTACGATTTTACGATCGTAATCCATTTTTTACGATTTTTTTCCTTTTTCAAGTGTTTTTTAGTGATTTTGTCAAAATTTTTAGAATTTTTTGCCAATCAGCGATTTTTTGCCAATTGCATCGTGTTTTTACCGCCGACTACCAACTACTTCGAATCCAGTAACCTGCGGTTTCCTCCCAACTCGCCATTACCAGCCAACCAGCCACATCCAATGCACTGAACTTGTTTCTCCCTCACTCTTTTCTTTGTGGGCGCCAGATTATTTTTTTCGCGTTAGCTTCAGCAGCAAGGGAATTAGTCAGCTCGGAGCGTGGATTGTCGCATTCTGTGTTTTTGTTTTTTTTTTTTTTTTTTTTTTTTTTTTTGCACATGCTATGAATTTTCTTAATACATCGTTGTTACGAAATGAGTTAAAAAAAAACGTATTCTCAATATTTTCGGCCTGCCTACAAAGCCGAATTTCCAACAATTAAAGAATCCTTCAAAGGAAATAACTATGCATTTTGCAACGTGTGCATGTGCGACTTCATAATAAGTCACGGTGGAAGAAGCAACATTGTGAAGTATGAGAAAAAAGAATTTTTTCAATGTGTTAGAAAGTACTTTTCCTCAGCCTGTGATTACATTGTAAGGAAGTTTCCTTTGCAAAATGAAGTTCTTTTAAATGCTGAAGTGGCAAATTTGAAACAAATTCAAAATTCATCTTTTAAAAAGATTCGTTTTTTTATTGATAATCCATTTTTTTTAACAATTAAAGAAAATGAATGCCATAATGATGCTTTAGATCAAGGATGTCAAACTCGCGGGCCGCATGCGGCCCACAACAAATATTTTTGCGGCGCGGCCAATATATCGGCAAATAATAATATATAATAATAAAATAACATATCAACGAAGAAAAAAATTAAATGTTTACTGCTAAGTAATTAACGATGATTTATTCAGTGTTGTTAGATTACTCACAGTGAGCTGACACACACACTAGTTAAATTACAAATGCGTGTGAGTAGCTTGCATTCAGCTACCTTCGGTTTTTGGGGAAGACGTTCACTCAGAACTTGTACGCATCCCCCGATAGCCGAATGTGGCCGAACTCATGGTCTCAGTTTTCCAATCATAGTTTTGTACGATATATTGGTGCATGCATGTGCATGCACTTTGCTTTATTATTAATTATTACTTAATTCATATTGTTACGGATTTCATAGTTATTTATTTATTTAGTTTTTTTTATTTAGAATTTTAATTAGATTTGCTTCATGTTGCCTTAGCAATGCAGACGTTTTTTGAAAAGACAGCTGCGTTAGAAGGTTAAAAATAGAACAGCGCGTGCATTTAATACCTAATAAATAAATATCTCGTAATTGCTGTTGCCATCCACAAAAATCCAGATATGTATAGATGTTTCCAGTATATTCGAGAAATTAATTATAAAGCTTATAAAAGCCGAGAACAAACAACTCATCTCAGTAGTAGCTGTAGTTCTAGCGAACTGTTTGTTTACTTAATGCTGTGATTGATTTGTAGCGATTTCGCTGTGAGATAGAATTAGTTTCTCTGTTTTGAATTGATTTTTGCTAAACGTTTGACATTTTGTGTAGAATTAGTTTCTCTCTTTTGAATTGATTTTTGCTAAACATTTGACATTTTGTGATATTGTATGTCTATATCAAAACCAAGTGGTAGTAAAATTAAACAAAAAATCGCTGACAAACATAGAATATTCCAAGTAAAATGGGAATTAGAATATTTTTGCTGTGAAATAAAAGATAAAATAATCTGCTTGGTATGTAATAATACTATTAATGTACCAAAGTTGTATAATATTAAACGTCATTACGAACAACACGAATCGAAAATAACAATTACGAAGGATTAATGAGAGAAGAAAAGTTGAAAGAGCTCAAGTTAGGAGTGAAAAAGCAACAGTCCATGTTTAGTAAAGTATTGCAAGAAAGTGAAGCGGCGGCGGTACATGCAAGCTACGTCTTGTCCGAGTTGATAGCTAAACATTCAAAGCCTTTTACTGATGGTGATTTCATCAAGGAATGCCTAATGAAGCTGGAGAAATTGTTTGTCCTGGAAATGTGAAGGCTTTTCAATCAATTTCATGTCTCGAAATACAGTTGCGAAAGAGTTACTGATTTAGCTGTGAATTTAAGTGATCAGACAAAGCAAATCATCTAGTTTCGAAAGTTTCTCCATTGCCTGTGACGAGAGCACAGACATTAGTGGCAAAGCTCAATTAGCAGTGTTCTTCGTTCTTGTGACAAGAATTTTAACATTTTTGAGGAATTACTGGAACTAATACCGATGCCTGGTACTACCACAGGAGAAGATATATTTACTAGTGTTTTTGGACTTCTGCAGAAATACAATCTACCTTTGGCAAAATTAAATTCTGTAGCTACAGATGGCGCTCCATCAGTGACCGGGAAAAACAAGGGCTTCGTAGCATTACTAAGAAAAAAACTTAGTGAAATTCATGGTTCAGACATTCATCATATGCATTGTATTATACATCAAGAAGTTCTATGCACGAAAGTAATAAATATGGAGAATGTTTTATCGTATATAAAAAAAGTTATAAATTTTATAAGATCTCGAGGTTTAAATCAGCGTCAATTCACTGCTTTCTTAAGGAGTTAGATGGTGAATATTCGGGTTTGTCCTACTATACCGATGTATGTTGGTTATCTTGCTCCAAGATTCTCACACAATTCCAGGATTTGAAAGAAGAAATATACCAGTTTTTAAAAACGAAAAATCAAGACGTAAGTTTGTTTTACGATCCAATGTCGGATACAAGATTTATCTTTCTTGGTTGATATAACCAAAACACTTAACCGATTTAAATTTATCGTTACAAGGAGAAGATCATATCATTACGAACATGTTTGACATAAATTAAAGCATTCAAATGTCAACCAGTTCTTCGGGAAAAACAACTTAAAAATGAAGATTTGACGCACTTCCCGACGTGCAGCATGAACAAATCAAGTTTAGATGATACTTGTTCGTATCAAAAATATGCAGGAAAAATTGCAAATTTAACAACTAAATTTGAAACGAGGTTTAATGATTTTAGTTCCCTCGAAGACAAATTTTTTTTTGTTTTCTTCGATTTTTTCAATAAGTATTGACTCAGTACCCAGCCATATGCAAATGGAGGTGATCGAGATTCAATGCAACTCAAATTTGAAAGCAAAATTCATTGAAGTAGGCGTGGCTGAATTTTACAAATATTTACAGCCAGGTTTGAAAATACTCAAATTCGCATATGAAATTATTTCCCTGTTTGGTAGCACTTATCGGTGCGAGCAGTTATTTTCAGGTAATAAGTCTCCTATTAGAAATCGTATTAATGATGCTCACCTTAAGTCAGCGTTGAAAGTTATCACTGCAAACAAAATTTCTCCCAAAATAGGAAAGATAATAGCAGAGAAGAGATGTCAAGTATCAGGACGTAAACATTAAATTTTCTTGTTCTTTTCTATATATATATGTTTATTATTGTATTATTCGAAATAAATCTACGTTTCTATGAATATCAATTTTTTTTTTTTTTTTTTTTTCCCCCGGCCCGCCTAAAGTTAAACCTTGTTTGTTTGGCCCAAGTGTACCTATGAGTTTGACATCCCTGCTTTAGATGAACTACAGAACCATTGACACCCCTGCTTTAGATGAACTACAGAACCAATTTTCTGCTGTACAGTTTGAAGACTTTGCCAGTTGTGGAGAAGATAGACTTGATGTCCTCGTTGTTACCTTAAAAAGAATAAAAAGAGCTGATGGAACACCAAAATATGATAGACTAGCCAAGAGTTTTATGTGTTATTCTCGTAATTTCACACAGTAATGCTGAGTGCGCGAGAGAGTCTTCAGTGTTGTGAAGAAAAACAAAACTATGTTTCGTTCTTCAATTTCGCCAAAAACTCTAGAAAGCATTTTAATTGCTAAATGTTATGAGGAAACTAATTGTTATGACAGAAAATTTTCCAAAGAATTTTTGGCTAAAGCCAAAAAATGCACTCTAAATTCATTGCAACAATTTTTTTGTGTAACATTAAGTTCTTGTTTTATGTTTCCTAATAAATTTTTTAGTTACTACTTAATTGAGATTTACTAATGTAAGTACAATTTTCTTTTTTTCTATTTGTATAAATTGTTATTTTTTTAATATCAAAGCATGATATTAATTCTTCGTGTTCTTCTGAATTTTGGAGAAATCTTCTGAATTTTTATCTTTAGAGGTTGGCAGGTATGGATTCGTACCATCTGCACTTTTGTTTGATATAACTTTGATTTAACTGTTGATATGTTTTATTTTTGTGAAAAGTGTTATTGCTGAAATTGTTTTTGCACTCTTTTTTTTGTGGTGGAGGGGTAGACTAAAATTTGGCACTTGCCTTCTACCGAACAAGCAGTAGATTATTTTCAAAGTTGGCCAGCTGAATTTGGCTCACAATATGGTAACGGATTAAAGCAATTGCCAGTTTGAACGTGTTTGTAGTCATAACATTCTAAACAGAGCTTCCAGTAATATCGAAAATATATAACATTAAAATACACATCAACCAAGGTTTTTTTACGAAATGCAAAATTGGGGCGGGATGAATTGCTGTTTTTTTTTTATTAAATAAAGAGTCATCAATTCCTTCAGAATTCCATGAAAATGATTGGCGAAAGATTGATGGGATCCATACTAACTTCCATGGTTTAATGGTACTCAACGTTATGGTCAATGGGCTAATGCGTAAGTACGATATCATCTACTAAAAGAAGTCTTTAAAAATGACCATTATCACAAAGTTGATCATTGGTTTAATAAAGAGTTTTATTAAGTATCTTAAGCCAATTTATCTATTAAAATGTTTTTCAGAAAAATTCATTCTCAAAGTCGTAGGAGCAGGAGTCGTGATTCTCTGAGAAGGAGCAGGAGTCGTGATTCTCGAAGAAGAAGCAGAAGTCGAGATTCTCGTAGACGAAGCAGGAGTCATGATTCTCGTAGGAGGAGTAGAAGCCGAGATTCTCGTAAACGAAGTAGAAGCCATAGTCGAGAATTACGTAGGCGTAGCAGAAGTCGCAGTTATGACAGACGTAGACGACGTAGTTACAGAAGTTCCAGCCGTGACAGATACCGTAGGAGACGTCATTCTCGCAGTCGAAGTCGTTCAGGGGACCGTTCCAAAGGTCGCTCAGGTAAAACATACTAATTTAGAAGTACTGTTGGCTCTAGTGTTTGGTTTATTATTAAGGTACATGATTTATTTTTTAGAGAAGAAATTTGATTTAAAGAGAGCATAATTGCCAAAATTAAATGCTAATCTCAAGTGTTTCTGAATACATCCAGTTAAGATACTTTTCATTGGAAACAAAATTTGGTAATATACTCTTAATGCTTCCAATTTGGTAATAAGCTCTTAATGTTTGGTAATGCTTCCAAGCTGGGGAGCTTCTCATGGCTTAGTATTAAAAGAGTTTTATCTAACAAACCTAAGAATGGCAGGAAAATTTAAATGCTTAATTAAAATTTCTATTAGGGAACAGAATTAAAAATATTAACCCATTAAAAATTGGAAGTTAATTGAATGTTACTTATGGTTGAGCAGAAAATGGTTTTGTATATGGAGTATGATAGATGAGTCATATATGGAGTATGTCAAATGTTGCATTTGTATTAAACTATGTAAAAAACTGGAGTGCCATATTTTGGTCACCTGTCTATTTTTAGATCTGTAAAATTCCATTTATATTTGGCTTCGAAGTTCCATATATGATTTTAATATTTCAGTGAATTTCTGAGAATCTTGATTTTTCATTTGAAAAAAAGCAGATACATTAGGAAGAAAGCACTCACTAGTCTTTGTAGATAATCAAATATCAGTTGCTGAGGAAGAAATGGCTATCTTAATGATTACGTATAGTAAATAAATTTGTGTCTGCTTAACAGTGTGTTTTGAGGCATTATTTTTTATATTTTTTATGACATTTATAAATAAAGTAAATCTAATTATCTGAGAAGAAATATTAAAAGTAGTGTTATGTACTATCATTTAGTGCTGTAATAGTCTCATTAGTATTCCTTGTTTACTGTTCTTTTAATAAATATATTTCTGTTTCTTTTTGTCAGTGTGTAAAATTTTACAGGTTCCAGTAACAGGAAACCTGGATCTCTACCTCTCTCAACCTCTGGTGGAGCCATGACTCCTCAAATGGCTTTACAGCAGACAATGGCTGCCATGAGTGCTAAAGCACAGGCCCTTACAGGAATTGCTTTGCCGAAATACTATAATCCTGCTGCTGTTAATCCTCTGAAGTATGCTGAACAAGTTCAGAAACGTAAACTTCTTTGGCAAAGTAAAGAAAAAGTTGAGGTAAATATTTATATGATATAAATGCATTTGTGTCTCTTAATAGTTTTACTCTTTTGTCTGTCATGAGAACTAATCTCACTGTAGTTAGTGTGTTACCTTAAAAGACGAATCTCGGGGTCATTTTTCACTGTCTGGATTTGGACTTGCAACAGTGGGAATGTCATCTGTGTCAGATGGCTTCCAGTTGCTTAATTTTTTCCACTCCATTCCATTTCGTGTATTTCGCTTCATGAAAAGCATGCAGACTTAAAACACAGTCTCATATGAGGTGGATGAAATAAGTGCTATGCAGTGATGATGACATGCATTACCTTTGCAGATGGAGAGAGCTGGCATCAACCATGAAGTGCCAATTAAAAAAAAAGGGCTGTAAAATATATTCAACTGAAGAAAGTCAGTAATTAGATGTACATTTCAAGTAGGGCTTAATCAAATGAAGTTTTTATTACATGTTTTGTTTTTGGCAGTAGTTGGCATCACAAGAAGGACAAAACAATAAACTGTATTGCTAGTTTATTATTAAGTGTTTGATTATAAAAAAACAAACAAACAAACAAACAACAAAAAAAAAAACTTAAATGCATTTGATACCCTTAGAAAAAAATTGTTATAGCTTGTTTCTATAACAGATAGCCCTAGGCATTCTATTGAGAAGCATTCTTGTAGTAGACAGTTAGTTTTCACCATTTGTGAATTTCAGATTTATATGTTTTCGGTTAAGTTATCTTTCCTTTTATAATTTCTGTTTAAAAAGATATTTTTTCATATTTCACTAGTTTTGTGATTTATATTGCTTATGCATATCACGTTTTATTGGATGATTGTGTTGTGTATATGTAAAATTGGATAAATGAATGGTTTGTATGGTTCAGTTGCTTCCCCTCGTCTACCATCTTTTACGAATTTTTCACAAGTTTTTCCAAAGCGTTTATAGCTTCTTGCTTTTGAAGTCTTTTTATATACATATATAAATTTTGATAATTTTTTTTTTTAATATGCCGAGTCATTCCTTCAGGGTAATTTGTCGCCAAATTTATATTTTTTGGCACAAATTTTTATAGTTTTATGGTTACCACAACTCGTGTAGTGAAGAACGTTAACTTCATCATCAGCTTTGGGATTTCTGTTCTTTCTCATGTGATTGAAAAATCTATTTTTTTCCAAGGAAGAGGGAAATAATTTTGGTGGATGTGTGGATGCATTTTATATCATCTCATGATGGTAAAAGTAATGTTTTTAAACATCTTAAATTGGGGAGAGGGGTGTTAAAAATATTGATGAAAATTGGAAAGTTTGCAACTTTTTCAAAAATTTGCTGTTTTTGAAGGTAGTAATAGTTGAGTGAAGAATCTCTATACATAGTTTTTGTTGAACACATTACAGACAAAAGTTGTTAATTCGGACACCCATAATCTGGAATGATCTATAATCTGGTCCTCAAAGCTACAAACTTTCTGCGCATGCGCGTAAGACCTTTACAGCTGCGAATATGCGTGTGCACATGCCCAAAATACGTTTACGCATGCGCGTTTAATGTATAACGGACAGTATAAGCTAAGCTAAAATTATCGTATTTAATTAATATTGCAGATTGCGTTGTTCCTTAATCTTTGAATTGGATCCGGCTTATTATTTTTTGCAGACTGTTAGAGCAATTTTATAAAAGTAAGCTTGAACTTTTGATTATGTCAAATAGAATTTCCGATATATATTTACTAATATGTAAAGGATCTACGAAGCAAAAGTATGTTTCGAAGTCCATTAAACAAAAAGTGGAATTGCTGCAAAAAATGGATAAAGGCATATCCTTTGTTTATCTAACCATTCCGAAATCTGTTTATCAATTTCACGCTGCTGTGCGGCGGGGTGACGTGCAATGAATTGGAAGTTGATCTGTCAGCACTATCCTTATCTTCAGAGCAGATTTTTTTTTTATTTTATTTGGCTTATAATTCCTTACTAAATGTAGTATTTCATCTCGGTGTACTCCGTCTTTAATATGATTTAAATCAAATTCCTTGTCATTATAATTCCCTTCCGATAGCGAAGAAAGTAAACAAATAAATATTAAGCTTTTTTTTTTTTTTTTTTTTTTTTTTTTTTTTTTTTTTTGTAAATTTTGATACCCTTTAGATCATAATTGTTCTTTATTTCATAAATTACGGTTTCATATTTTTAATTTTATAATTTCTGCATACCAGATTTAAACTGATGATCTATAATCCGGAATCGCCGAAGTCCTGACGAGTCCGGATTAACGACTTTTGACTGTATTTGCTTTGAATGCTGCAGATCATGTTGGTTCTCTGTATCCAGCTAGTGAAACCCATGAAAATACGAACTACTAGTGTTGAAAATTTAGTGCCCTGAACCCACGGCAGTTAGCAATTTTATTTAAGCTTAAATAATTAATTATATTGTATTGTAAATTAATTTTAATAAACACATTTTATGATAAATTAAAAAAATTAGCAAAATAAAATGATGGAAGTAGTAGAAGCATAAATATTAGTAAAAATAGGGCTTGCCAAAAGTAGCAGATTTGCAAAAAAATTGAAAAATCTGGCAGCATTGTGGTTGCAAGAACTTTTTATTAAATTTGTTAAGCATTTAGTAACAAAACGAGTATAAAGATTTGACAAATTCCTTAGTATCATTTGGAAAATTTGAAAGAAAATGGCGATTTGTTTATTAGAAATTGTAAAAATATTGATGAAAATTGAAAAGTTTGCAACTTTTTCAAAAATTTGCTGTTTTTTGAAGGTAGTGATAGTTGGGTGAAGAATCTCTATACACAATTTTTTTATTGAACACAGCAATTTTTTTATTGCTTTGAATGTTGCAGATCATGGTGGTTCTCTGTATTCAGTTAGTAAAACCCATGAAAATACCAACTACTAGTGTTGAAAATTGAGTGCCCCTGAACCTATGGGCTATGATTGTAGGTCTGCTAGTTACCAGTTTTATTTAAGCATAAATAATACATTACTTAGCATTATAAATTAATTTTAGTAAACACATTTTATAATAAATTAAAAAAATAAGCAGCAAAAAATTAGCAAAATAAAATGATGAAGTAGCAGAAACATAAATATTAGTAAAAATAGGACTTGCCAAAAGTAGGAGATTTGCAAATTAATCGAACAATCTGGTTGCAGGAAATTTTTATTAAAATTGTTAAGCATTTAGTAATAAAAAGAATATAAAAATTCAACAAATTCCTTAGCGTCATTTGGAAAATCAGAAAGAACATGAAGATTTGTGTATTAGAAGCTGTACTTCGGAATTCGGGGAATGAATTACAAAAAACGTTTACAACAGTACAGTGTAATGAATTTTAATTGTTGCAACCTCAACATATGCTATGCATTGGTTTCATAAAAAAGCTGCATACAGTAGACATTCTTTAATATGATAGGTTTGCTAAAGTTCTAAAAGCTGATTAATCATACCTCACAATAATGTAGAAATGTAAATACATTTTTAGCATTATAAATCAAAAATAAGACTAGATCTCAGTGACAAAACTCTTGAAAATATGTTACTTGTATAAGTAGATAAGTGTTATGAAGCTGATATTTTTAAATCTTTTTAACAAAAGCAAATCAGTGTGAACATAGTAAAATAAACAGAAATTTCCCTTTTTCTTTAATGGGGTTTTCTTTTCCAAGTACATTTTTTATATATGAATTTTTTTCCTGTAAATTTTGCATTTTCTGTTCAGAATTTTCTGAAGAATCTGATTTTTATTGTCACAGAGTTGGCTGATATGTTTGTGATCAAACTTTTTTTTAAATATATAATTTAAGCAGCCATTTTAGATATTTAGTTTGATATATATGATTTAGTTAAATTTCTTTTTCTCCACTCAGTTAGATGAACTCTTTTCCTTGTAAAATTTCATTGCCTTTAAACTGGAATAGCGTAAGATATGCTATTTAACCTTAGTCAGCCAGGGGGATTATTTTTCTTAAGGATACATATTATTTCAAGTCTTTAAATGAATTGTATTAGAATGAGTTTTGACAAAGGATATTAATCCATAATGTCTAGTCTGTTAATCCTGTTTTCCATGCCCAGATAAAGAAGAAAAGGAATAATAAAGTATGCAATTTGTCACTTTTTAAATTATTTCATGGTTATTGTATTAAAATGCTATTTTTGAAATGACGAAAACAATAGCCAATCTTAGTGCCGTCATAAAAAAAAATAACTAACATCTAAATATACTGCAAAAACAAAAACAAAAAAAAAGCTCTATTATTTTTCAAAATGCTGCCCAAAACATTTATTTGCTGTTCATCAGGGCGTGATTTCCTTATTAAGTAAATAGCGGTAGTGGGTTTTTCAGGTAACCATATATATTTATGTCCCAAATGAAGGAAATAAACGTGTTTTTATCAAATTTCTCAAAAAATACCAGATGAAATTTTTTAATAAGAAGAGCTGTAAGACAATTTATACCAATTGTCACTTGTGGTATTGAAGGATGTTTCTGAAAGCAGAAATGTCCAAAACTGATGTTGAAAGATACAGCTTGAAATGAGGCTGATTGGTACAATGGTCATCTCTCATTTGCATAGTGAGTCATAATTCTGTGAATGAGATAACTAATTAGCCTCTACAGCAGTTACCTACACTTCTACTACGTTTCTAAGTGCATTCCAGATGTGTTCTTTCAGGTTCATGGCTAGGAATCTGACTAATTGGTGTGTCTGCAAAACGAAACTCTTTGTCTGCCATTTGAGCCATAAGTGAAAGAGTTATCGTCCATAAAAGGGAATTGAGAATGAAATGTCTCTGAGTTCTGAGATTACTTTTTTGTGCATCTGAGGAGTCATGATACCTTTGTCAAATGCATGATTTAATTTGTGAACATCTACGAGTAATATGGTACTTGCTTTGATTGTGATCAGTAGTATATTTTTTCAATGTTGGAGGAATGATTTCAGGTTCCAGATTCTCTCTATATGAGAGGGTACAATTGTGAGCGTGTGTATATTGAATCTAAACTTGCTACAGAAGAGAACTATGTGCAATTGCATTATTATAGCTGCTACCCCTACCAGTAAAATCGTGGCTTGATTTTTCATCACTTTTTCCGGTCTTGATGAAACTCCATTATCTTCCGGTTTTTAACTTGCCCGAATTTATATCATCTCTCTAAAATGTAAATTTAGAAGAAATGTGGTAACTACCTGTCAAAGTGAAAGGAAGTTCTATTGAAAAATTCTTAAAAAAGGCTAAGGCAACAATGTTCTTGTCCCCTAATGAAACCAAAACATGTGGATTCTGGTTTTAGAATAATTTTTCTAATCAATTTTTATTCTATTTCACCCTTTCCTAAGATTTGTAGAGCAGTTTACGAAGACAACTAACGTTTAATTAAAGAAAGTCATGAGGGGAAAAAAATTAATGAAAGAATCCTAAGACTGTTGTAGCTTAATAACTTGAATTTAATCAATTTTGCTAGTTTTATGTCCATTTGAAGTCATGATGCTGTGTGGTGCAAAAACCTTCCAGTTTTTCATGTTTCAAAGTTGGCAGCTATGCATTTTTATTTAAACATTTAATTTCCTTATTTGGTTCAGTATATTTTTTTAGGAATTTAAGTAATTATCCTCTTAATTTAGAATACCAGTATAGTGTACACAAAAGTTAGAAAAATATTGTCCGCCACAGATTATTTTTTTACATTCATATTATGCAGCCAAATACTGTTGTTATTTTATGGCTGGAAAACATTTTATATTCCAAATGCGGTTTCTTTAAGTTTTGTAATTTTTATTTAATAGTAATAATATGATAGTTGTTTAAAATAGAAATTGTCAGCATCATTAATGACATGGAATATATACTACCATGCTTTTCAAAAAGATTATATTTTTTAAAATTGTAATAAAAATGTTAGAAATAATTATCTAGCTGACTGATAAGTTTTTGTTTATCTTGTTAAAATGTATAGTAGTAGTATCTTGTAAATAAATAATTGAAATGAACAGCAGGGATGTAGATAAGATTGCTGAATTCTGGTAACTTCATTTTAGGTTCATTTTTGCATAAAATTAGTTGCATATGTAATATAAATATAAGCTTTTCATGAGAAAATCTGCTGCTATGGGAGATAACTTGAGCTTTGCATGATCAGAGCTGAATATATTAAAGTACAGAACTAATGTAGAAGAAATTGTCATCTTTTCAGAGACTTTAAACACACACATATAGATATAAAACTATATGCTTAAAATCATCAATTTTTATGTGCTTTTCATTTATAAAAATCTGTAATTTAATCCCATTTTTAAATGTGTTAGTTATGTAATAATTATTTTGATTTGCGACCTATGTAAAAAGAGATTTATTTTGCTATTTGTCTTATGTAGCAACCTTGTTGAAAGAAAACAGTATTGGCAAATAAAAACACCATTGGTTTAAGAAAGTGTGATTAGTTGCCAAATGTTTTTAATATCCGTGAAAGACAAAATTGACTAGGTTGTTTGATAAATTGGCAATTAATTCAATAGCTGTGTAACACAAGTTATTTAATATACACTTATAGAAAGATTTTACTGTAAATTTTTATTTATTATGGCATTTAATGCAATTTTGTTAGTAATTTATTTAAAATAACAACATAATTCAATAGAGCATATTTAATATATATGCATTAATTATTTTATTTAATGCAATTATGTAAGCAATTTATTTTAAAATGGCAAACATAAACATGCCTGATGAGTCTCTTGTGGCAAAGATCAGTAACTATTTGCTTGTCATCTGGAATGCTGTCTTACCAGGGCTGGTACAGAAATCAAGTACCCATGTTTCTTTAAGTATGAAGTAAAATTTAAGAAATTATCATATTGTATTTTTTAAAAGAATTTTTTTTGGGGGGGGCAATTTTTGGAATCTTTTCTGAAATTGTATTTATTATTTAAAAAAATTCTTAGCTATAGAAACTTTTCTGTTTGAAAATATGAATGTTATTGAATGATTTGATTTGTGGTCATTTTTAATGGTTTTGTGTAAATTTAACTTGAAAGTTGAGCCTGTGGTACCATTCATATCGTGAAAAATGAAATTGTAAAAGAAAGTTTTGTGATTAAATTAGGTTTTAAAGTTCATTTTAAGTGAAGATTTGTCAGTTGTTGATTAAGTGATTATATCAAAGATTCTGATGTTAATATTCTCCACTTCCCTTAGGAGCAGCCAAAAAACACAGTATGGGATAAACTTACATTTGCACAAGATCAAGATGGCAAAATGACAGCAAAGTTCAGAAAGCTCATGGGCATCAAATCAGAAGGACCTGCACCTAAAGAACCAGCTGAAGAAGAAAAAGAAGCTGTGTTGAAAAAGCAAGAGGAACTTTTCCGTGATTTGGACCAGCAGTACGAGATGGCACGTATGACAACACACACACAGCGAGGTGTGGGTTTGGGATATTCTGCTCAAACTCTTTATCCACCAGTTCAGAAATAAGTAACATTTCTGACTGTTTGTATATTAGTTGCAGTATTCTGATTCAAGAACTTAATCTACTCATAGAAGAGTGAAAAAATCTTTTTGTGTAATCCTGCCATATTTAAATAATAAATTAGAGTATACTACCAAATGATTTCATCTTAAAACTAGAGCTGAACTGTATTTTTTTTTTTTTTTCCATATTTATTAACATTCCACAAATTTAACTCTTACATTTTTAACTTTTTGAGGGTAATTTTTTTATGTCATTTCAGTAAAATATCTGTGATTGGAAGTTATTCTAATTGCAGAGTATTCATATTTTAAAAATTAAAAAAAGTGGAATTCTTTTTATCTAATTTATTATTTAAGGCACAAATAAGCTTTCACCCACCTTAAGACTAATTAAAAAAATTTTTTGGCAGGAAGGATTTTATTTTAGAAAATGTTCTGTTTTGTAAAATAGAAGTTTCCAGACTTTTTTCAACTCATCTATGCATTTTTGAAAGAATGACTGAATACTTCTTAGATATTTTTATGTTAATAATCAGTTTCTAAATGTCTGTACGGTAATAAAGCTCAGTTATTATTTAAAATAGTATATCAAACAGCACTAAATAAAATTACAATCTTTAATTCAAAGTACTTAATATTTGATTAATAGCTTAATTGTGATGGAGTATTATTATTATTATTTTAATATTAAATTGCGAGATATTGCTGAACTTTGTTGCATTAGCCTTTCAGAATGTATGATTTGCAGATCATTTGATAAGATTGAATGCGATGCAGTTGTTGAAAATATAACTTAACAGTTTGCATATTGTTAGCAAGATTTTATTAACTTTAATAATTAGTGTTGAAATTTTTGATTTGATTAATGCTACAATAAGTATTGCAATTTCAAGTTTCTGCTGTGAATTTCATTACCAGTATGCAGTTTTATGATTGTACTAATTTTGAATTAATGAATGAAGAATTTTGAATTAACCCTTTTATGCAATCTTTACATATCTTAATTGAAAGTAGCATTCAGATTTTAAATTCATTATTGACAATTGTAACAGTGTAGTAATACTTTTTATAAAAGTCTTAAAATGCATTAGCTTAGTTGGAAGTCTTATTAGTAGTTACGAATGTGTGTATATTTCAGGAAACTAAGAAAGTCTAAAATCTTCTATTTTTGTTTTATTGTATCATAATAGTCATTTTTGAGTGTTAAATAAAAGTCATTTCTTATATTCATTGTTTTTTGAATAATTTTATCCAAAATGCTGTATTTTACATTTTTTTCTGTAGGATCACTAATGTTATAGTACTTTTTCACTAATCCATTTTTCATTCTGACGCTAAAACTTGATTAACATCATTAAATCTAGCTCAGACAATTTACATTGGATGACAAATATAAGGCATGGGTCATCTGGCATATATTAGCCAGTGAGCACAAAGCAAGGTCGTTACTTTGTTCTTCTCACCACTGACCGCTGTGCATTTCAGTAAATACTTTAAGAAAGTGCAGTCTTTTGTCTTAGCTATATCTGCCCCCCGCCCAAAAAAAAACTCATACTTTAAAAAATCGTGTAAAGATGACATTCCTCCTGTTATTTCGCCAAGGAAATGTACCGTGTGTCATTGCCATTTTTTTAATTTCACTTGTAAGGGCTAAAGTTCTTAAACATGTTTATACACAAATCACAAGGACAATCTTAGGTTGTATTGAAGAAAATAAAAAATATTTTCTTTCCTGAAAACAAAGAATAAAAATATACTAATGCAAAATGCCTGTTTTCTGCCTTTTTAACTAGAGCACAACATGTCACTGAATGCTTTGCATCATATTGCAGTTTTTCTACAAAAATGTTTTCTGACAAAATCGCAAAGAAATTACTCAATGGCAAGGACTGAAATGGCTGCAGTTGTTGAAGAAGTGAGTATGGAAAATAAGTCTTCAGTTATTGATTGCATTAAAACAGCTCCATTCTGCCTGTCTATGGATTGAAGCAATAATACCTATGCAAAACTGTCTATTTGTTGTTACTTTTAATTCATAGTCTTCAGAAATGGAGTGTAGTTTTTCTTCCCCCACTTTAGAAGCAGATTTGACAGGCTTTTATAAAGCTCAAATAATTATTAAAATTTTTAAAGCACTGCTGCCGACAATGCACCACTAATGGTAAGCTTGAAGACTGGTGTTGCAGGCATCTTAAAAGAGTTCAGATTTTCAAATTGTGAGGTGCATCTGTCACCTCCTAAATTTAGCAGCTGAGAAAGAGGCAGGTTCTTTACCAGTAAGGATGAACACATAGTTGATATTTATTATTACCTTAAAAAAGTAAAAAACTAAAATGAAAATAAATAAATAAATAAATAAATAATTTCTAGCAGCTCATAATATTGGAATAAGAAAAAAATTTGAAACATGTATGTAAATGCTAGTTACCTTTTGAGAAATCTCTGTCTGTGTGTGTCTTTCGTTCGTGCTGCGCGTAAGCTAATAGACCCACGGCTACGACATTTGGTATATAGGTACATCTAAATAAGAGCCAGCGCACCTCGAAGCGATTTTGTCGAAATTCAAATTCGAATTTTTTTTAATTTTATGTTTTGTGACGAAATTGCGCCATTTTTGAGACATAATGGCTATAGGAAACCAAGTTTTTACTTTACACACTCCATTTTCACATTGTCATGAAACGTAGGCATTTAGCTATTTTACGAACTTAAAATAAATTTCATGTTTCAATAAATTGATTAAATACGATTTTATTTAACAAAGAGAGCTTAACACCTTTTCAATGGAATTTTTTCTAAAAAAGTTTGTTTATAAAAATGTACTGTTTATTTTTCTTTGATTTTTGGACTGGTTAAACTTTCATCTTTGCGACAGCTTTTACAAAAAGAATTTTGGAAAAATGATAATAATTTGTATATTTAAAGAATTTTTTTAAATAAAGCTTCCGAGTACACTTCTCACATCTCCCATCTTTAAAAATGCGATTTTGGCAACAATTTTCCTGTCTTATTGTTGTTGATAGATTTTTGATGAAATCACATCATTTTGAATAGTTTTATTCTTTTAGATATATGGATTTGGCAACAATTTTTCATCGTATTTCTTGTCACTGTTTTTAAGAGATTGTCATATTTCATTGTCATTTATATATATATATATATATAATATATAAAATACATTTTTATTTATTTTTTATAAAGTTGTTCTGCAGAGTGAAATTCTGCGTGGAATTTTATGTTTTTTCAGTTGCTTTCATGTTATTTTTTGCTTATTTCACTGTTTGTAATATATTGAAAAGTTTTGCATGATTTTTTTTCTTCAACGGAAAGTTGGTTAATTTTTTTATTGGGATAATTAATATTTGTATTAAGGGATCTAGCTTATTTCATTGTAATCTTTTTCTCTTGAAAATATAAGATAAAATATCATTAATTATGCTTTGCTTTTCAGAATTGTTTTTGTTTTTTTGTATTCTTTTATGTTATTTATTGCTCATTTCACTGTTTTTAAGATATTGAAAAGTTTTGAGTGATTTTTTTTTTAGAAAACAAATTTCTTTACCTCCTTTATACCATTTGAGTTCTTAAGATTGTGCAAAGGGGAGTCATTTTGCAGTTTTAAGGAAGAAATGTTTTTAGATGATAAAAGGCTCTATTAAAAATTATACGATACTTACAGTTACTTAAATATAGATGTGAGAGAAATGAGTAATTTCTGCACCTGTGAGCAATTTAATTAGCAGTTCTCAAAAGAGCTGATAAAACGTTCTCTCAGACAAAAAATTGCTCCACAAGGGAAACATTATTTTCTGATTGCTGTAAGTTTATCTTGTGAAGAAAGAATATTTGATTTTATCTTTGGACTTTGGCAAATACGTATTTGATGAGTTATTGTTGAAATTTTCGTATTTTTTAATATAAACGACAAGGCCCTGCCTCGATTGAAATATAATCATTTCAAAGTAATCCCCCCCCCAAATGAATAGTTCATAAAATATTACATCAAAGCTTTTCTTTTTTGGGGGTATGATTTCTTTTATTATGTGGCTCTAAATTTGGCAACTTATCGACATTTTGGTGATTTAAAAATCAGTTTGTATTCAGAATTTTTTATTCGGAGATCTGTGGAATTCTGATGATTTTTTAGAGGCACAACGTTGATAAATGTCACAAAAATAATGATAATAACTGAAATTGTATTTAAGAAATAACATGAAAATAAAACATTTTTATTTTCTCCTGCCATATTTTAAAGTGACATTACTTTAGATTTTGGTGACTTAAAAATATTTTAATCCTGAAAAATAAACAATAAATGCTATGAAGCACAATTTCTGAAGCACTTCTTTAAAAAAAAAAAAAAAAAAAAATGCTACTGTTAACTATTTAAAAATAAATTAAATTTAAAAAAAATTTCATGTTAAGAGTTTTTCCATGTAATTCTTTCAGAATATTTAAATGTGTATCAGTTTTCTGTTGAAAAATCACTTTACACTTCTGTTTTTTGTATTTCTTCTCAAAAATCTTCTGGCTTTCTGCTCTAACAGAATTGGTTGGAATAATTTTTCTTTCAGATTTTAGAATTTATATCTCAGAAGGTCTTTATAGGTTATTATTTTGAAGACAAGATTTATTGACCTACAATTTCCACAATAGTGTGACAAAATGCTAGTCGTCCAAAACGTCAACCAGTTTCGGGGTCTCCATCGAACTTCACCAGTTCGATATCTGGCAGTTTCTTTTTGCGGCCGTAGAAGAATTGCTATCCATTGAACCAGTAGAAGGCTGTGAGCACTTACCCCTTTTTCCTGTTGGCTTTTACTTTCAACGTAGATAATTTATCATAATATTCTTGAGCTACACTAAATTCTCTTTCATATTCTTCTCGAGTACAGCCTTTTTTTCTGTAAAAGTTCCAAAAAAGAGTCATGCATATTTCTTAAAGTTTTATACTTCTCTGAAATTTGTTCTAAAGAAATTTCAAAATCGTCCAAATCCGGAGAATCTGATTGTATCAGTTCTTCCAACTTATTTGCTGTTTTCGTAAATGCACTCCTAATTGCTTTCTGCTTCTGTTTTAATATTTCTAAATCCTCCATGTTTGCACCTAGGAACTTCTCTTATTTTTGTAAATTATCAAGTGTCGAAATCGATAATGTCGCCCTGTGACATTCATCCTGGCTGGCTCGACAAATATGTTGCTTAACAAGTAAATTATAGGTTCGAAAATCTGAGCCGACACTTTTTTAAAAAACCAACATTTATTTTTCACTCCATTTCTTATTCTACAAAATCTTAAGTGCAATTAACTATCAAACAGAAAAGCAGACATAGACATAATGCATATGTGCAATGCGTCTGCGTACGTGATCCTCGTGACAGATGAATTCTTTAGGGTTGCCACACGTGTTATACGAATCTCGGGGAGACATACATAAAGTTAATATTTAGATTGGAATAACTAAGCTCTGTGGACCTTTTCTATTTGCAGAAAGGACCATCACTGGAAAAATTTATCTCGATATGTTGCAATAAATAACAAGAAATACCTTGAGCCACAGCTAGTATCAGATGGCATTATTGACAGTGTTGTCCACCAACAGGATAGGAATGCCCCATTTTGACATTATTAAATGAAATGAAACTTTTCCTGATATGTGGATTGGTCAAGTTTTCAACGTCTGTGGACTCCACAATCACTAGACTTAATTCCCCTAGACTTTTTCGTATGGGGTCTTGTCAAGCCCAAAGTGTATCAAATCATTGAACAATTAAAACAGTGAATTATGGCTGCAGCAGCTAATTACAGCACTAACTTTACATAAAGTGTTCCAGAGTGTAGTGATATGGTGGCAATTGTGCCTAGACACTCAGGGTGGCTGCATTGAATTGCACTAATTTAGCGTGCTATTATGTTGCATTTTCATGTATATAACTTATATTTCAGAATAAAGCCTGTTTAAGCAAAAATGTATATAATATACTTTATAAACACTCCGTATTTATCTCTGAAACTTAGAAGAGTCTTTAGGATGGATACAATGGGCAGTCAGCAACAAGGAAATTCTTTGTCAATAAGAAAACAAAGAAAAAATGTCTGGCTTTTGAAAATCCATAGTAAGCAAAGATTTATCGTAGTAGAATAATGTTTTATTTGCAGAAAAGTCAAATGTGTTGTTTTGGGCTCAGTAGGCAAATTATTATTTGGTGAAAGCCAAATGAGGAACTGA